GTCGAAGTCGAATTAAATTTCCTCGAACAACAAGAGGGCTCAAATCAAAAATGCGATGAAATTGAATGAACCAAATGATACATTTCTTTGTAGATTTGCAGAGTAATATAGACTCATTTGCAGCCGTTTTTAAATGTTGAACATCGCGAAGACATAATTGCCCTTGCGAATAGAGTCTGGGGAATCAAATGTTGCAAATAGTCTTGGCAAAAGTATACATCCTTGACGAGCTGATCATTGACAATATATTCACATATTAGAATTGTATACAATATAGTTATATCTACAATATATGTATGATGATGTTAAAGAACAAATGTATCTTCCACTATAAAGAATAACTACCTTTGTAAACTCCTTTGTCGACCTAAGCAGTTACTCAACGAAGATTGTGAAGAAATTTCAGCCCTTGCCACGTTCAATGGCTCGTGTTTACCAGCCAAAACAACCTTCAGGTTGCCCATTTATAAACACGTCGAAGAGAATTTAACTCTACATTGTAATTCGACTTTTTAGGATGCTTTTCTTCTCAAAATATATATAAAGGAAAAGCTTTGAGCCCCCCGCGAATTTCGGGGAATACCCGACCTTGCAGAAATTTGAGACACAGGGTAGCCCTTCTCTTCTCCGAGCAGGTGCAGCGTTAATATACTTTGCTGTGATTGGTTAGTCGATTTTCGGGGTATTCTTGGTGGTCTCCAATCATAAGCAGTCATTTAGTCACGTGCTAGTAGAATATCGAAACAAAATGGCGGCCATGGCGGCCCGCGTACGGTTCTTCAGGAAAACAGTGATTAATTTATGTCATCAACAACATTAACAATTTGTAAGTATTGAAATGTATATTTTAAAGATAGTTTTAATACTATATCTTGTCAAGTTCTAGTCAATCTACAGTTAAAGTTGCATTTGGTTCGATGGTTTTTATCGGTTGAAATCTCTTTGAAATATACTTCTTAAGCTTAAAGATCATTTTCAAATTCGTTTTTGGGGGGTTTATATTCAAACTTTTTAGTGTAGGCGTAGAAATAAACTTAAATGCTTTCTGATTGCGAATTTTTTGCCGTTCAATGTGTTAATCCTTAAATGATCGCGATTCTTTGTGCTTTACTATGAAGTGTAACGTAAGCCTACATGTAAGCTAATAACATTGAGTCGTTTGTTCAGTTCGCTCCATCAGTCTTTAATGAGATGAATGATGATAAGAATGAAATTTTACCAATAAAATATTACAGCCTCTATTTGTAGAAAATGGACAAAGGATTGAAAAAAAGTATTAAACACTTCTTGGCGAAGGTTTACTACGCTATACAAAATCTAAAAGTCTAAAAAAAAGCTGTTTTTGAAGTTATTTATGCAAGACTAGGCTTTTAGAATAAACCTCCCTAAGGTATTTCTTTCGCATAAAGCACCAGTGCTATTTTCCAAGGACTTCTTTTGTTTGTTTACAATATTTTCGTTTAGGTAGAAGTCCATGAGATAGTTGAATAGGTAATGTACTTCAAAGCTCTGTTGACAGGTACTTCTCAGTCTTTGGACGTTTTTTCTGTTGTTTTCAGATTCCTGTGTGCTTGTTGTGATTGTGTAGGCTTGCCTACACAGGTTGATGTTGTGATAAGCACACAAAGGTGACTTGTGAGGATTTGTTGAGTTGTGGAATCTATCCCCAACAACAAAATGCCGCTCAGATTTTGTAATTGGATGGACCATCCCATCTCCTAGATCATTGCTTGGCTGTGTTTCTACTGACTTGTATTCTGAGGGTACTATATCAGGAATGTTGATATTCTGTGGATGTAAATCAACATGATTTAGTTCAAAATCAAACAAATTGGTATATCCCATGACACTGTAGAGTCCTGGATTTTGTTTTTTATAATAAAAAAAATTATCAAAGACATAGACCCAAATTTTATCTCAATTAATCTACGCATAATTTCTTCATAACTTCTGCAAATAATGCCTGGTACATAATTATTGAGACAAGACATAATTTCCAGTGATTTTTGTGGGGAAATTATATATTATATAAGCCATGTCTTGTTCATTTTTTTAACAATTGTACACTATTGTTAATTATTGTTTTTTGGATAAACATAGTTTTGTTTTGATGGAAAATCTATTTTAAATCATAAAATTATTTGCTTTACTTATTACAGATTGTGGCTCTTTATCAAGAGATGGCTTCTCAAAACAGCCAAAGTTCTCTCCCCACAGCTGATCTGTTTTGGCCTTGTCTCTCACTTCCATGTGGCAAGCCAAGCCACATGCAGAATCACACACAAATGTTGTGGGAGGGTACTGCAGACTTAGGTACAAGTCTGCAGCATCCCTCACCGACTCAGTTAATAACAGTAACTTAGATCCATATGTACACTGAATTAAATGATAAAGAAAGAGACAATATTTTAGATATTGAATATCTTTTAAGATATGAAAATATCTATCAATATAAAATATCTGTCAATATTCAATAAAATTAGTTCTGTAAATTTTTGTCCCTTAGCAATAGAGTACAAACATTAAATGTGTGCAACACTTTCCACTGTTTTCTACAAAATAGTGTTAATTAAACAATAGAAAACAATAGAATTAACATAATTTAGCAGTATTTAGTGGTATTTATGTTGCACAGTTTTAGTGTTTGTACTCTAATGGTTATATGTGTAGTATGTGCTTTACTATTTTGGTTTGAAAATGGGACCCCTTTCTTTCTGGATGGGTGCCTTATGAGAAGAGCACTTTCCAGAATGCCATGAGCATTACAAAACAACATTTTACTTACACCATGTCTACAGACTAAATGGTAAAATCCAACAGTACAGCCACTAGCCCAATTGTACCCATGGCATGGGCATAGTCCAACAAGCATTGATGTATATAATGATTGAATATTTGTCATCATCTTTGCCTGTGCACATGTAAGAAATATTGGTGTCAATTCATTGAAAGCATGAAACATATAATTGTATTACAAAATTGTACAAATTAATGCTAAATGAACAAAAGAAAATGATTGAACTACCTTAAAATAGCATTCTATTCAATAACACTCGCATTCATGCTCAGCTGTAATGAGGTATGGGGCAAAAATATTGGTCAGCCACGTCCTGCGCCTAGCCAAGACATTGGCAATATCCCAACAGTGTATGCACTGTTTGTGTTCTATCCTCAAAAGCCCCTCAAATAAACTCCCCATTCCTCAATCCCAATTCTACCAATCCTAGTGAAACAAGCAAAATCAGCCCAGCTCTCGACATGGTTGTGATTTCTYCCACTATGACTCGATTTAGGTCTCGAAAGTCAAACTCTCACATCTCCAATGATCTCCCCTTTCTGAACCCTTTGTTCCGCAAGTGCTAGGTCAAGATTTTCTGTCTTTCCTCTACCGACCGTTGCGAGATTTCCCTTCCAATCTACCCACTGGATATCGCAACGTAGTATCCTGTTAGCCACTTCGTTATCAAACCCACCAGTGTCTCTTTCCCATTCCCGGGTTATTGTGTTCTGTCAAGACAAATAGCAAATGCAAATAACCATCTACTCATTTTAAAGATATCCCGCAACACAGGTCAGTAGAGAAAAGACAGTCTCGACCCAGTATGACCGGGAGGGTTTTTAAGCAGGCAACTGATTTCAAGACTATCAATTTCCCCAATGACCCTGCCTCAATAACGAATAGACACGACACTCATTACTCGTTAGCATGGTTTATTAGAACCTCAACTACAAACTCCATGGATCTGCCTATACGTATGCACTCACATGGCATTATCATTTCTCTATTACTATCATTTCTTGTCATTATTGGAGTTTTTCGGGCCCAAATGACGGCCCCTGACCCTTCTCCGCAGCTTTCCTTGCCAAGCATTTGGCCCACAGGTGGCCTGGTTTATTACAATAATAGTATCTTCGGGGAACCTTGTACCCCCCCTGGCTGGCCCTGTAAGGTGTAATCTGACGATCCCACCTTAAATTCTTTACCATCGCCTTCTCAACCATTGCGACTGCCCTAAAAAAAAAACCTTTTGGTGATCCTTATTTCCCAAAAGCCTCAGAGTCAGTGACTCTTCGATTCTTGGCATTCATAATTAAGCGAGGGAATGTTCACAGGTTAAAACAACGTTTGTTAGCATGAGTGTTCATGGCATACGTTTGATATRTTTATTCTWCTTAGTGGTAAGAGAGDCTCACTTGGTTCATACCGATACGTCGGAGTGATTATGTATTTCGGGATAACGATAGTCCCGGAATAACTATACGTGTGGTTGTTGTGCAATGTGGGAGTAATCCCTCCGATTGAACGGGAGTTAACGTGAACCTTTACTTGAAGTAAAAGGAGAGGTGGCGCTGTTGAAGAAATCTGTGGAAGAGATGACGAAGCTAATTAAGCCCGGAAACTCACTCCACCGCAACCGTTGTCTATACAAATGAGTACTCCGTAATTAAAGCCGAACACAATGCCGTGCTAACGAATCTTCATGTTAACTAGTCACACCTCACTCAGCAAGGCAGCGTTAAAAAGACAACACACATACAAAAAAAACACTGTGAAAACTCACGCCTCATATCTAATATTGCAGTGAATACTCACTACAACGAACGCTATTTCCACTAGTAATACCATGATCACCTCGGATTCTTTTGTCTTCCGAGGGATGTTTACAAGCGAACATCCCTCCCTCATGAATGGCATGAGGGACGATTACTAGTAATCGTCCCTCATGCATAATAACATGAGGGACGATTACCAGTAATCGTCCCTCATGCATAATAACATGAGGGACGATTAGACTAATCGTCCCTCATGTTATTCATGAGAAACGGAAGGCAAAGGAAACCTTTGCTTCCCAGCAGGGACAACTGAATGTCCCTACAGCTGTCTTCTTTTTACCTCTGCAATGAACGGTCTGGTTATCGTCTCATTCACACTGAAATGTGGGATGATTTTTGGGACAAATTGACCGAGTAGCTCTGGTTCCGAGTATCTACTTCGTACCGCTGAGCATGTGCACTTGACGAATTTCAATGTTTGATAATACAGTAGTTGATAAGCTTCTTGGCATTATACTTGCAAATATAAAAACAACTTTTCGGTTGAAGTTAAGGTTCGTTAACTTCAGCATGTGAATAGAACTGAAAAGCAATTTCAAACAAAGTTCGTTGTGGGAAATCAGTAACAATGGTCGGATTATCAATATCATTTTGTACTGTTGTTCGGCGAGTGATACTCTTAGAACAGTGCGTATCCTTTCTTTTCATGTCATATTCCAATTCCTGCATGAATTGAAAACATTGGAGCGTACAAAAAAAGCAAGAATTAAAATTCGCTCAAGTTCAACTTCAATTTTTTCCTCGGAAATCATGGTATTACAAAGTAATAGCATGGCTTCCTCGGGAGATTAGGGATTAAATGTCCCTCAGCCTCGGGCAGATAAGTAAAAGTCCCTCCGGCCTGCGGCCGTCGGGACTTCAACTTATCTGCCCTCGGCTTYGGGGACATTTAATCCCTAATCTCCCTCAGAGCCATGCTATTACTTATAAATAAACCTCACTCCATCATGGAACATGCATGTCCCACATTACAATGCAGTTAAAACTCCGGCAAGCGTCTAGTTGTTTTAGCCATTGAAAAATTTCACTCAAAAATGACTCTCAAAAGAATACAGTGAAAACTCACTTTTACCTCTCCTCAATCACTTCAAACAGTGCCGTAAAAACTCACTCGAGCCAGTGAAACCTCACTCTCTCCATCAAGTGAAAACTYACTTTAACCCACRTTGCACGAGTGAAAACTCGCTCAGTCTCTATCAAG